AAAGCGTTTGTAGGCTGCAGTGTTATTCCTTGATCAGTTAAAAGCCCACCCCACATACAGCTCCGTCCCTGCTTTCACTCTTAAGTGAGGAGTCTCAGAAGTAGCAGTGGGGTGAATTGCATGACCCATGCACTACAGGAAATCAGCTTAGTGTCCTTTTGACTTCTGACCCTGAAAAATGACTGTATCATGAAACTGATATGTGAACTGCTTTGTACTGGATCTTGAGGGAACGTCTCAGTGACTAGAAGGAGGATTAGGCTTTTATTGGAAGATAATGCACTCTTGATTAAAAGTGATTTATAAAAAAAGTGTATTTGAGGATACTAGCCATAGGCTAACAAGTCATTTGGTGTTCCTGCCAGAGGATGAGCTCTCTGTAGTTCAGCTGTGCAGTGTCAGTGTAGGAGTCTGAGCCCCAGCCAGATGGAAACCATTTTTTTCTTGTTTGGAAGCTGTGCAATGCTTCACAAGCAGCAGAGTGGCCAGGTCTCTGCTGTGTGTTGGGACATGTCAGTCTCTCATTAAATGGGTCAGATCTGGGGGCATGTCCCTGGTAGCAAATTTTATAACAATGAGTTTATTCAATTGTACATTTGAGACTGGGAAACTGCAGCAGAATGCTTTTTAATGATTGAGTGGTTGTTTATGAAATATATCAAAAATGATGTTGCCCATAATTCTGCTATGTTGAGAGTTGGTTAGTTTTTTGTTTGGGCTTAGTTTGTGGGGGCTTTTTTCAGTTCTTGTTTGTTTGCAATTTTGTGTTTAAAGTGAATTGTTAGAGAGAGAATTGACATAGAAAGGACCAGATTCTACAAACTGGTGTAGGGTGGTGCTTGTGCCAAACGCCTTCTGGCATCCATGTGATGAAATCTGCCCTGTACCTGTTAAGTTGCCTTTGTCTTACAGGGCAGGGAGGGTTCTAGATTTTTTTGAGCATGGTGGAAATGTGTAGGATCACTTTTCTTTTTCTTTTTTTTGTTTTGTTAGACCTTATTGTAAGAAAGATAACCTCTGCATAGCATTGCTGTGAATGTGGAAGTCCCAGGACAACTTCTGTTTGAAATGGAGATATGTTTTTTCAGCATGGGATTGTAAAGTCCAGGTTGCATCCTATTGCTTGGTAGTTATATATTAATAAAGTGTAGGTTCAAAGGGCTTGTGTTACCTTGTCTTGAAGTTCTTAATCTGGTGAAACTTTTCTTCATTTCTGTTGCATTTCTTCCATGTACTGTACTACAGAAGCCCTGGTCTTGTTGGTCAGTTTGCTTCTTATTTTTCCTTCTCCATTTTGAAAAGCCTGATGCTGTTACTGAGATCAGTGCTGGTAGGTTATTTATGTATTCTGCCTAATTATTTCATGGCTATATGCATTTTTTCAGTTTACAATAAAGTGGGATGAACTATGTCATGCCTCGGTAGAAGGCACTGTATGTTTGTCTATTAGAATCAGCTGCTTGTTTTCACTCTGTCTCCTTATCAAGGTGTTGGTGTTGAAGCATTCGTGTAACCGTGAGTGAATCATAGGTTTGAAGTGTTCCTGTTTGTAACTTCATCTGCAGACTAATAGCAGGTAGGGGGGCCTAACAAGTGTCTCAGTACTGAGCACAGTGAAAGATGTTTGTGGAGAAAAAACTGCTGTTGAGCTAAATTTAATTTGAATTTAGCTCACACTGAAGAATGGTATGCATCTTTTTTATAGTATGTTGTGTTTATAGTGTGGAAAGTACCCATGCTTAAAACAGGCTTTCAAATCACACACTTTCTTTGTGCATTATTTTATAGTGGGGGAACAAAAAGGCTTTTATTATGGAGTGCTTTTGTATTGTCCTTTTTAACTATCATAGCTCTGACAGAGAAAGCTGAATTCTTTCTCTGACTTGCATTCAACGGTAGTAAGGGCCTTCTCCACACCTTCTGGCTACAGTTGCTGGAGCCTCTCAGGAAGCAGCTGCTTGTGCAGATCCAAGGTAGAGCTAGAGCTGTGGATTTCAGTCTGCGGTTCATGGAGCTACTTTCTACTACTGAGATATTTCAGCAAGTTGGCCGGAAAGTGCAAATCTGTGCCATATATCACTCTACAAATGTGAACTTTAAAGGGATCTACTTCCACTGAAATAGTCTGAGATCTGCCATTTGGAAAAAAATGTTGAAAACCAGGCATTTAAAGAAGTTGCAGTGTTTCAAGAGAATGTGTAGTCACTGTTGTGGAAAAGTTCGTATGAGGTCACCTGAGCTGTTGCTAGGTTAGAAAGCCTGTAGTGGGAATGTTTTCCCTTTTCCTTTCTCTGATATCTCTGACCTGCACTGTCCTTTCTGCACAAAAGAAAAGGAGGATTGTAGTATCTAAAAGGAGCTGACCATGTAACGCCCAAAAGAATACATATTGTTACTTATTTTATGGAGGTAAGGTGAACATCACTGGTCAGTGTATGGCAGATGCTTTTGATGTTATGATGCCTGATTTCCTGACACACACCCCTGCCCCCAACCCCAAGCAGTGTTGTACAAGGGCGGTAACTACAGAACTGGCTTTAAAGACTACTTAAAAACTGGCCAAATAAAAATCACCTTCCTGTTTCAGAGCTATAAATTGGTATTAAGGTGTCTGACTTTGTTTGTCTGTTCCTTTAGAAAACCAGATGCACATTTATGTTATTGCTAGGAAACAGACACCTGTATAGCATACTCCTGATTTACTTCCAGCTCCTTCATCAGTTTCAAAACATTCTTCACTTCTCTGAAGTTTCAAGTCTCTTTGGTTTCATGTTTATTTTATTAACGTTGCTTTATCTCCTCTATCTCTGTTCACTGTGAGATCTGGAATTTACAAGTCTAGGTATATCATAATTTAAAAACCCAGTTCTGCCAACCTCAGGACTCTTGACAGCTTCTTTTCTTCCCACCCCCTCTGGTACTTTGTATTGGAGATTGTTCTCCACATTATTAGACACGCTTCAAAAAATAAAAGCTTGTTTTAAGAAAGAAGTTGATGTAAGTCTGTAGCTACTTATATTAATGCAGTTGATGTTATTGAGGGCAAGAATTACATCATTTCTAAATTGATCTGAAGTCCTTAAATGTTGCACTACACAATTGTAAAGCTACATTGGCATGATCTGGATTTATGCAAAACTCCCGTGTCTCTCACCACTTGCTTACAAGTAACAACTGTAGCCAAACATAAAGACATCTGAGCACAAGATGAATCCCAATTTCTTTTTTTTCTTTTATAGACAAGTAAGTAAATAGAGGTTGGTTCATGGAATAGAAAGTCAAAGTAGTTTGACAAACAATAAATCCTTGAACTTATCATCACCTCCATGGGGAGGAGCGTAGGAGCTGCAAGTTAGTGACTGATGACTGCATGACTCATTGGGTGTACAAAGGATAAAAAGTGAATGTTCAGGGAAAATTTCCTGTGTAAGAGAAATTGCTGTATGCTAGTAAATATAGCAGTACCTCTCCCTGCATATTTGTAGAGAGTGCTATTTGTTATGCACACAGGAAATGAAAGGAAGTGTCTGCATCGCCGCTAATTTCACTGTCTCCTGCTGAGGTCTCACTGAGATGTGTAGTGATTTTTTGCAAGTTGAGACATGTCATAGAAATTGTTCGTCAAATACAAATACTGATTAAAAAGTGTAGAGGATTTGGATCGTTTTTGAACTCTTTCTTTTGTGATGTGATGTAGCTCTTACTTCTTTCTCTGCTAGGAGCTTACACTGGTGATCCAAACTGTATGTTTAGCCTTTTTATCAGTGAGAATACAGGTTGTCTCTAATTAAAGAAGAGTTTGGTTTGGTATTAATCTTCTTCAGTTTGTAATTTTTTTTTTTTTTTTCCTGAACACAGTTTCGCCCTTGGCTGATTCAACCACTAAGCATTGCAGGCTTTTCAGGGTTAGAGAGTTTTTTCTGCACTCTTCTTTTCTGGCCCTCTGTTTTTGTTGTTGGCAAGGTGAAAATGATGTGCAGAATCATCTCTTCCTGCATCCAAAAAAAAAGGCAGATTAAAAAATGCAAGCAGTAAGCCTGGGTAATAATTTCTCAGTACATATTTTACTGCTTTTTCCATCTGTTACATTAAAATCTCACTTAAACTAGGCATAAATCTAGTCAGAAGAGGTCGCTGGGATATTAATCATCAGAATTAATCCTCTTAGACATGTGCTTGGTGTGAGGCCAGCTCTTCAGAAGTTTAACGGCGCACATATGTTGCTTATCTGTCTGGCAGCTTGCCAATGAAGTATACTTTGAGTTTGTGGTGGTTTTATATCTCTGTAAAGTACACTGCTTGGTTGGTGCAAGTTGATGTAGCTTTTCTGTATGTTGTACATGGTGCATAGCCTGCTACTGAAGAGTGAGTTTCTTCAGGGTGTTTTCAAAGAGCTATAGTCTCTTAGTGTTACACGGTAAGAAGCGATATCATTCATGGTTGACCTCTTCATGGTGCTTCCGTATGAATTATGGTGAGCCAAATTAGTACTACTTACTCAGAGCAGAGGAAGAGACAATATTTCAAGTAGAGTAATACTGTAGAACCCAAATATAGCTGAATGAAACTTTACCCTGCCTCCACTCCTGCTGTTCTGACTTGGAAGAAACATGCATTTACGTAAATACAACTCTTTCTTGAGTCAGGTCTGGACTGTACCCAGCATTTCTCTTTCTCTCTTCATAGGAGAATGCTTCATACTCGACAGAATAATGATTATTTCATATCCTAATTATGGAACCGATTCATCCCCTGGGGCACGGAAAGCAAGCAGTAGGAGTGAGTGCATCATTAAAAAAACAGAGTATTTCTAGAGAGGAGGTAAAAATAAAACACAACTCCATTGAAAAGTTGTATGATAAAGAAAAATGGTTTGTGTTAGAGGAAATTTTTAAAACAATCTGAGATTATGGCTGAAAGAACATATTTTCTTATTAACGTGTTTATACTTTGCTTGTGAGAAATCACTAATTTTCTCCTTGCCTTTATTTCTCAAGGAGAAGAATGAAAGCTCGTGCACCTCCTCCACCAAATCAACCTTCTGCAGCAAGCAAAATTCACAGTGAACACAAGTCACCTGCAGAGACAGCTGTAATTTCTGATCAGAACCTTGTGAGCATGAAGGAGAACATGATAAAAAGATCGGTGGACTTCACAGTCATTTTACCCAGCGGGGTGGAGCAGAAGAGCACAGCACAAGGAAGGTAAGGCTTTAATTAGCTCCTTCTTTCTGGAGCCCAGTGGGATACTTGCTGATATTAATGTCTCCCTTCCTGAGTTGACAGGGTTTCTCTGCCATGCCTCTCTGCATTTTAGGCAGCTGTTGTACCAGAGAGTCCTGAGAGTCATGTGTAAAGGACCCTCTCTGCTGGGGCAGGAAAGATTTAGCAGCTATTGTGTCACTGTTTTCCCCATGGATCAGCCTCAGAACATATGTGGTTCTGTCTCTTCCATGTACTGCCACTGGGCTAGTCTTAGGTTGTATCACATCTCATAATACAGAGGGAGTTTGGTGCAGTGGGAATAGATACTGCTGGCAAGCAGCAATCCTGACAGTATGCCTGTCTGGAGTCATGCTGAGAAGGAAGCTCAGAAGATAAATGACTCATCACGTTCAGAGGTCCTGACTTCACAAATACCTCGTGTTTGTGTAGACAGCAAGCATCTGCCAATATTTAGGAAGCCTTTTCTATATAAAAGTGTATTGTGTTTTTCCATGGGAAGAGAGAGAGGTCCTCTTTGTCACTGGATACAGTCAAGGGCAAATTGTATTGGAAAGGCAGTTTTGAGATAATTTTCTTCACCATGGGAGCTCTTCCTTCTTCTCATCCTCTCTGTGAGAACTGTTTTGAAAGAGGGAGACATTACTTTAAGAAAGAATTTGGAAGAGTTTTAAAAATATATTCAATACTGTGATGAAACTGTAGCAAACAGTGGTGTGGTCTAGAAGTGGTCAAGAAACTGCAGGAAGTGATAATACCAGATTGGGAGGATATGTAGATGCCTGTTGATAAATGAGGGCCTGTGCTTATTTTACATTTGGGATTTGCAGTAGTTAGTCTGCATTCCTGTAAAACTACTCTTCTTTGTCTGATTTATTAGTCTGTTTTGACTGTTTGTCTATTAGTGTATTTTAATGGCTGAGGAGGATGTGTACAGCACTGTGTAGTGTCTGGTAGTTCATTCTTCCCACTGCTTTTCTTATAGAAATTGGTGTTTGCTTAGCCACTCTCAGGGCACTAGTGCAACTTGTGTGGGTCAGCCTCAAAGCCAGAGTGCTGTTAAAGGTTTTAAAGGAAAACCGTGCTTATCAGAGGTCTCAAATTATACATTTAGTGATCAAGTTTTTGTGGGGAGATTTGGACTTAATGAGAGAAAGAAGAGAACAAGCCTGGAAAGTAGAACAGGACATGAAACTCACTGGTGGTTAGATCCAAAAGAAAGGTGATATTTCATTGTCAAATGCAAGCCACCTGGGAGCTACGAAGAGTCTACTCTTCATGCAGCATTTTGTATCGAGAGATACATAATTCCCATATAGTTAGAAAGGATTTTCTTTTCCCTCAAAAAAAACATAAAAACCCAGTAAACCAAACACTCCAAGAGCACTGCAAGAGTAGTGTTTTAATGTAACCTTTTGAAGAGCATACAAGGTACAAAAGCAGGGAACAAATGGAACATCCCTGTACAATCAACATTCTGTCTCTCGCACAGGTGTTTATTATCACTATAATTGCTATCACATACACTATTTTTATTATTAGTCTCTAGTTTGTGGACAAAACTTAAATGTCAAAACTTAAACCTTAGACATTTCAATGGGATTATTTATTTCGTGTACATTAAGCACTCTAAGCAATCAAAATGTTCTCTTCGTTGTTCTGTGAAGGTGCCCGCTTCTTGGCTGCTTGACAGGTGTAGGCCCCTGATTTAAGCAACAATTAAATTCCTGCTTGTGTTTGTCTGCTAATCTGAGTATCACCACTGCCTAACCTAGGTAGTGGGTGTTCTCCCTCAGCACTGTCTTGAGCACTTGAAGTAGAGAGTTGGTGACAAATGTCAGGCACGGATAGGCAGATGTAGGAAGTAAAAGATTATAGAAGCTGAGGAGGGGATTAAATCATCCTAACAAGTTATGAAGTAAGAAAAGGATACACTATAATGAGCCTTGTATTACAGTGGCATCAGTCTGTGAACAGACCTTGTGTGTCCTGCTGTTCTTTCTGACCACTGGAAGATGAAATTTTCTGCACATTAACACTGTTTATGTTTTTAGGGATGTGGAATATAAAAAAAAAGTGTTGAGCATCTGAAATTTTTAGAGGATGAACTGTCTTAAGTCTCCAGGTTTGGGTGAAAGCCCAGGCTTTTTCTTTTTTCTTTTTTTTTTTTCATTTCATTATTTTGGACAGCTACAAAGTACAGTCATACTCAGAGGTAAACATTTAATGATGAAGATACTGGATTTAAAAAAATGTGTTTAATTTAGTTTGAAGCAAGTACAGGAGCCAGTGCTGCTAATAAATTGTTTTCTCTGTTCACTCTTTTTATATATGTTGATACCATGGAAGGACGTTTCAGACAAATTCTGCTGTTGTTTATACTGCTATAAATCTTCAATATTTTCATTGCCATCATTAAAACTGCCTTCTGCAAAATCTGCTTTTGAATACCCTGGGAAAATAGCTTTTCTGTTGCAGAAAAATTTGCAAAACCTTGCCCTGGGCATCATCATAATGAAAAATGATTCTGTAATTTCAGGAAAGCACTTCACAGAGCAATGAAGTGTACTAGAGCATTTTTGAAAATACAACAACTACTATCATTAATTAGTATCACCTAAGGTTATTATAAATGAACTAAGTTAAAAGTCAAAATTATCTCTTTCAATTTGTTCGTTATATGTAAACAAAGCAGCATGTTGTTAATTTTACTTTGTTCTCTGTATAGAAATTTCCTATAAATATCAGCAACAGGGCAGAAAAATTCTCCTGAAAGATTGTTCAAGAAAAAAAAAAAGTATGTTATTTAAACATATTTTATTGGCATCTGGAATTTTTAAGTAGATTTATTTGTAAAAGTTAACTCAAGCCGACAGTCTCTCTTTAAGAGTTCATTGCCATCTTGTAACATAGAATTTATTCCAGACCTTGGAAATACATAGTGCAGATTTTAAGACAAAATTGAGTCCTTAAGGAGTGTGTGCAGCAATAGAATAGTGTAAACCAGCTGAAACTGTAGTCCCATTCTGCAAACACTGGAGGACAGAGCTCACTGCAGAGCATGTGTTAGATGAAGCATAAAGCTAATATCATCACAGAAAGAATATTCTCACATAATACTCAGTGAAAGACTTTTTAAGTGATACTGATTATTATGAGTGTATAGCTCAACATACAGAACAGTGTCTCAAGAAGGTGTGAAATCAGCCCAGGTTGGTAAAACATGAAAGAGGTGTTAGAATAAGATGAAACAGGCACATACAGCAAAAGCGTTAAAAATGAGCTTAACTAAATACTAAATAGGGGTCAGATCAAAACTACAGTAGTGAAATGTAGGCTTTAAAAAAAAAAAACTTACGAGAATAATCTACAGAATAATTTATGTTAGAAGGGGCCACTGGAACTGACCTGCTTTGACTCCCTGCTCAGTCCAGGTCTCACACGAAACAGGTTGCTCAGGGCTTTTTCCAGGCAAGTTCGAATACCTCCAGGGAGGAGGTTTCTGAACCTCTCTGTACCTCTGTTCCAGGGCTTGACCATCCTCGTGGTGAAAAAATGTTTCTTTGTACCTAAATGGAGTTTCCTGTCTTGACACTTGTCTCTTGGCTCTGTATCTCTACCAGCTGGTACCTATAGACAGCAATAAGGTCTTTCTTCACCATTCTCATCTTAAGGCTCAACAAACCCAGTCCTCTGCCTCTTCTTGTGTGTGATCTTGGTGTTCCTTCTGTGGAGTTGCCCAATTTAAGAGCCAAATATACATGAGCAAAATAAGAAAAGAAATAGGAAGTATTTATGAATATCTGTTTATCATGCTTCCTGTACTTCGTTTGATGCAGTTTGCTATGTAGTGTATGCATTTCTGGTTGTGTATGAAAACTTCTGATCTTTTCATGAAGTGCCTGCTGTGCTTTGGAGCATGAGAAAATAATAATAACTGACACTATTTTCTTTTTTTAAATGCAGATAGTAAAAGTGTCAGAGACTTTGAGTCACCCTCTTTACACTACTGTTTTTCTTTTCCAGTCAATTGTTACTTTAGATTCCTAGTGTGTGTTTGGCATTGACCTAAATAAAGAAGATTCTTTCCTCCAGTTTTAGATTTGTTCATGGGCAATTGTAGCATGAAAGTAGAAGGTAATAGAAAAGCCAAAGTCGTTTGATAGAGTACAACTTTATCTTATGCATTTATTTCCTAGATGTACAAGGCTGTATTTTAAAATGGATTTCTTTGTGTGATCCAAGGAGTTTAGGCAAGCCTGATAAATATTGCTGACAAAGTAGTTATTTTTTACTGTCCGGAACTGGTGTTAAATGTTAAATGGCTTAGTAATAGAATACCAGGAAAGAGCCAAAGTACTCTCCTTTGCTAAGAATAGTTGTCTTGCCCATCTTGTCTGAATCTTAAATTGGATTCATCCTCTAGTTTTATTTCTGTGCTCTAGTATTTGTTTATTAGTCATTAGTGTGTCTGTCACGTGTTTGGTCTCTCCACCCAAAATTTCAGCAACATCTTATTAAAATAACAAAATAATATGTTAGCTGAGTAGTTGGAAAGGCAGGAGACATTTAATGTCTTCATTGCAGCTTTAGATTTAATCCTTAATGATCAGACCTGCCTGAATTTCAAAGTAAGAGTATGTTCTCTACCAGGTCGCAAAAGCAGGTTCAAATAAAGTTCAGACATGTCTGGAACACGATGGAGGCAAAGGAACGACTGACTCTTTGTGTCTTCCTAGAGCCATATTGAGCCCAAGGTTAGAAAGAAATGTTGGTCTAGATTAGTAGATGGCTCAGAACCATGCTCTTTCTGTGTTTAGTGTCTCTCTTCTGTGTGTGGCATATGCATGGAGTTACTTGAAATAAAACTCCCATTTAAAATAGAGCTGAACTTTATTACAGTTCAGAAGGAAATTTTTTCAAGTTGGTGAAATCGAAATCTGATGTAAGAATCACTTCATTGCAAGGACTTCCCAGCTCTCTTACTTCTCTGGAGACACATGAATTTTGAATTTTGTTTGTAGAATTCCTCTATTTTTCTTTTTCTTTTTTTTTTTTTCTTCCTTTTGAAATTTTGTGGAAATTACTTTCCCAAATGTACATTTTGGGAAGAGCATACTATTCACATTGAAGTTGTTTCAAAATCTTCAGAGATTTTTCCTTAATTTGTACCCATAAATGGTACAGATGAAGTTGGGGGTGCTTTTAATGGAACAGTTGTGTATTTTGAGCAGCATGGCTCAGGATGGGATGTTGCAGACTTCCTTAAGTGTTACATTTCACACAAACCTACTTTGTAATCAACAGGAAGATGAAACCTCAAATTTGGCTGGATTTTTAAATTGCTTATTGTCCAGACAAATTTGTACAACTTGCATGATATTCTGTGTCGTGGTTTGACCCACTTGTCTAGCAGCAGCAAATACCACACAGCCGCTTGCTCACCCTCCCCTGGGATGGGGGAGGGAATTAAAGGGACTTGTGGGTTGGGATAAGAACAATTTAATAATTCAACTATAATGAAATTGAAAATAATAAGGATAATGATAATAATAGTAGTTATAATATGCAAATATACAAATGAGTGATACACAGTGCAGCTGCTCACCACCTGCTGACCAGGGTCCTTCTTGTTGCTGGATAACAATCCTGGAGCAGAGAGAGTCCTGAAATCAGCAGTCCTGGAAAAGAGAAGAGACTGAGAACTGATTGAGAGCCCGAGAGAGAGAGAACTTCTGGACAGAGCCTCATCTATATACTGGGCATGACGTGCATGATATGGAATACACCACTGGCCTATTTGGATCTCAATCCTAAACTTAAGGTTGAATCCTAAGCCAGTAATTGTGGGCTGCACTCCCTCCTAGCACCTGCACACTGGCAAAAGCATGGGAAGTTGGAAGCGTCCTTGACTGTCCTGGCTGCAGCTATAGACAAACATCAGTGTGTTATCAGCTGCCTTCTTATCACAAATCCAAAACATAGCCTCACACTAGCCACTGTGAGGAAAGTCAACTGTGTCTTAGGTGAAGCCAGGACATTCTGCAACTTATTGTCTCAGATGACTGGTTGTAGTTGTGGTACTGTTGCTGCTGGACATATTTCATAATTTCTGTGGAAGGTGCACAGAATCATAAACTGCTCTTTTGACACTATTTTTTAAAAAATCCTTTTTCAAATGCTGTTTTTTTTAAAGTGTTTTTAATGAAATATTTTACATGAAGCAAGATAACTGTCCAAATTTGAATGAATTATCACAATATTGCGCACTACAGAAATATATTAGCATTCCACTTAGATAGAAATGTCTAGCATGTAGAACACCATGTACTGCAGTTCTGCCAATTTATTTGCTTTTCTCTGAAACAACAGTAATAAGGCTGAGGGGAAAAAACGTATGCAAATTTTAGTTTAAAAGAAGTATGTCTGTAAACAGACAAGCTGAGATCTGTATCAGGCTGACTGACACTTTTTTAAATGCTCACTGCTGCACAGATCAATGAATAATTATATGAATATTGGTGTAGGTTGGGTTCTCCTATAGTTTGGACTAAGTAGATGTAAAAGTTTTTGTTGCTTTTTGGCATGTTATGTATGAATTAAGCGTGGTTGTGAAATGCAGACATTTGCAACTGCAACTTGAGGACAGTGCACAAATAAGTCATCATGAAATGACCTGATAGAATTTCGATTTAAATACTACACTTTTCTACTCAGATGCTGTCTATGTCAGCAGTTACCACAGTTCTCTATTTTTCTGAAGCTTCCTATACATATTAATGACATCTGTTTTCCTTGTTGGATCTTCAGTCATCATCTTCTCACTGTGTTCTTTTTGCAATGAGACTGACCACCTATTTCAGATTTTCCACGCTTGCCACTTTTCCAGCTCATACTGCAGCACTCAGTTATACTTGAAATAGGTTACTGTGAAGAAGGTCCTTTCTCATCTCTTGCACAGGAAGAGCTGTCACCTACGTATGTTTTAGTCTTTCACCTGTAGTAAGGGATTGTTCTTGTTTTCCATTCTCGTCTTTGCCATTTGCTCTAAAGGGTTTTTCACCAACTTCTAGAGCAGTTACTGGCCAATAACATATACAGAGAAAGAAGATGGGCAGTCCCCCGCAGAGCTGTCTCCCAGATGCCAGCAGCTTGCAGTTGAAGAGCAGTTTTTTGAGCTACAGGTGTAATGGTGGTAGCTAATAACCTGTGAAGGATTTTATTTTGTTTGAATTTGCTTGCATTTTGAATCTGTATACAGTTTTTCCAGTTTACACATTAGAAGAGATGCCAAATCTTTTGGCAAATATGCTGTCTATCCACCTATTTCACTTCTGCTTGAAGAAAAATATCTGATCTATATGACAGGTTTCAGGTACGGCTGGCAATTTTTTTCAACTTAAGGTTGTTCTGTTAATAATATACTGGTTTATGAAACCAAAACTTTTCAGAAACATAACCAGTTTTAATAAACCTGTTTTCTCTGATCCTGGATGGAATTTTAGGGAGGAAGGCTGAAAAAAAAAATAACCCTTCAGTACCTTGGTAGAAGAGAATTTCTGTGGCATGGAGGAACATAGTATCAGCTGTGTCAGACAGCTCCAGTGAATGTTGGGTTATTGACAGAAAACGGAGTATCTTTGTGCAGAGGCGTGGCATAAGAGAAGGCCAGTGACTGATTCTTTTAACCTTGTGGTTTAAGAACCACATCTGCAATAAGAGTTCTTGATAATGCAAATATCCTCACCAAAATAAATATGGAAGGGGTCTCCTGTACTTGGAAATATTGCTGGTGTCAAATGGATTGGGGGCGGAGGGGGACACTCAAAGTTGTAAGCTGGAAAAAAAAATATCCTCTCTACTTTTTGTTACAGATCTAAATGCTCCACTTTGAGTTGCGTTACATAATGGTTCAAATCTAGGTAGAGTTTACCATACTGTGGGTTCATCATTTATTTATATCTTGTCTCCATGTTAAAGGACAGGGTTTGAATTGGAGAATATAATGTATGGATTTAGCATATGAGATGCACTTTTTCCACTCCTGGCTTATGTTTGTTAGTGCTATTATTGGCATTGCTGTCTACCTTATAGTGAATAGTTAATTACCAGCTCATAAAAGCACACTGAAGTGTGAATATATTTAATTCTTAACATTTTATCTGATCTGTTCAGCATTTCAAAGCATTAGCACTGTTCCCTTCCAAAGATGGTTAACTAGTGACACATCCACAGCTTGTATTGTCTTTTTTTCTCCCATATTAAAACTGAGCTAAATTTTTTAGCAGCTGTTTTTTTCATGCTAACAGTGAATGTCTCTTCCCTGTAGTAAAGCTGTGATGGATTTATTGGTCGATTTATGCAGCCAGTATCGCTTAAATCCATCCCAACATAGTGTTGAACTGAAGTCTGCAGGAACTCAACAACCTCTGAGTTACAAGCCAAACACTTTGATAGGAGCACTGGATGTACAGACAGTACTTCTGAAAGAGAAGGTTCCTGAAGAGAAGACAAAGCGACCTCTGCCAAGGGTCCCTGAGGTTTGTACTCTGTAAAGCTAAAATAGTGCCGTGAAACATCATTTCATTCCTATGAATTCAAGCAGTTCTTCCAGTCTCTGCATCTTCAGACCAGATGGGAGAGGCTTGAGATTGGCTATAACTTGCTTTACTAGTGTAACTGATTTACATACTCTAGCATTTAGACAAAATGTTATGTTGCATGTGGTTGGAGAGATAGAAATCTGTTCTTAAAAAGACCCTTGATTGAAGACCGGGGTGACTGAAATTTTGCAGTAGTGGCTGAAATTAGGGTTGTGGGATTGTGTGGAGGTTTTTGTTGGTATTTTGTTTGCCATCTTTACTGAAGATATGGGAGAAGACTGATCATTAATAAATGTATTGCATGGTATTGTGAAGATTCAGAAGCAGACATTTTACAAAAATGTTTGCTGAAATTTTTATTATTCTGAATCAGTATAGCTAATTACCCTGCACACCTTTCAGAGTGGTACTTGTAAACATTCAGAAATTAGGGCTGCCTCTGATTCCTTTTCCTTATTTGCCTATTCTTGTGAATGTTGTCTTATTGACAAGGGAGTTCTGAGATTGGTTTTTTAATTTTTTTAATAATATTTTTTGTAGTAGTATGCACATGGGACAAGTTTGTCTAGGAGGAGTCAAGACAATATAGAAGTCCCCAATGCCTTTCTCATTTCAAGAGAGCCTAGCCATCATGGAGGGAGGGCTGAGAGTTTGCATTTGTTTCTGCAGAAATCTGTGAGGCTGGTAGTGAACTACCTGAAGACTCAGAAGGCTGTGGTTCGAGTTAGTCCGGATGTGCCTCTCCACAACATCATCCCAGCTATTTGTGAGAAATGTGAAGTCAGTCAAGAGCACATTGTTCTTCTGCGAGATGGCATCACTGGGGAGGAACTGGAGCTTACCAAGTCCTTGGAGGAGCTGGGGATAAAGGAGTTGTATGCCTGGGACAGAAAAAGAGGTGAGCTGAGACTGTAAGCAGTCACTGCAGGGTTAGATAATGTGCCAACAATATTATGGGCAGCTTAAAAGCATTTGCGCTCTCATTCCTCTGAGGCCTGGCTGAAACAGCAGTGACATCTCAGTCCAGACAGCAGTGCAGGTTTGCTCAGTGAGCTGTGCCCAGAGCAGCAGCCAGGACAGCGGCATGCCCAGCCATCCCTGGCTGCTCTCAGGCCCCGTGCCAGGCTGGGCTGGCCACTGGCAGGGTGCAGGTTGGCCTGGGGCAGGTCAAAAGGAGGAGCTTCGCTACCTCCTGCAGCTGCTGTCAGTACAGGTGTGCGTAATATGGCAGAGCCTGTCACCTACCTGTGCTGTGGGCTGGAGAGAAAGAAGAGGCATGCCTTAGTCGTGACAGCTTTGAAAGCTGAGAGGCAGAAGTGACAGACCAGGGCTTATGAGAAACAGACTGTGGACGGTTCCTCCAAAAAGTGAAGTTGTTGATTGTTTAGTGAAGAGGAGGTAAGAGGTATTTGTATTTCAAATTTTGTTCTCTTGTTTATTCACCCTCACTTTCTGTTCTCATAGACAATAGTGTAGTGGCAGCTTCTTGGGCTTGAGTTTTGTCTGCCTGATTGTGTATTCAAACAGCGTAATTATGCGATGTGCTTTAAAATATACCTGCCTTAAAAATACACATTGACAAGCACTACTTCCTTTGAGGTCAGCAAGTGATATTCATTAAAATTGTCTCCTGCAGTTTGTCTCAATTGTCATCACTTCCAGCACAGTAAATGTCTTTATTTATTGTTTAGATAACGTCAGTCTTGTAGGTGCTGAGCAGCAGGCTTATTTTTTATTTATACAGTTATTTATTTATGTTGACGTTCTGTCTCTTCTTTCAAACTCCTTTAGTAAGTGACAGTTCTACCTCTGTGTGAGTCAAATTTCAGTGAGTTTAGACTGTAAAGTAAACCGAGTATCTCCTTTTCCTTTGAATTGTTAGGATGCTCAAAAAAGTGGTTGACAACATGTCATAGCTCAATTGCATGTTTGTTTGTTTTTTTAATACATGTTTATGGTAATTAAGCTGACCATTTTTGAGCAACATGTTGAACATGCAGAGTATTCAACAGGATTCATTCAGCATACTTCAGGGACAACTTGCAGAGTAATTAGCCTAAGCCTTCTTTAAACTCCTTTCCTTTAAAATTAAAGTGATGGTGTATATACTGGTGCCATGCTGGTCCTCAAATTCAGTTGTAGCCTGTACATTCAAAACCAGGAATTTATTTTGGGGCTAGGATTATAGCAGCAAATGATTTAACACTTCATAGTATGCTGCTCCCTGCATCAGAAGTTTTTTTTTTTGTCTTTTATTGTTTTTTAACCTTTCAGTATACCTTTCATTATGATAAAATCCCCCTAATCCTGAGTGTGTTTCAGCCTTTTCTGCCTTCCTGTCACTCTGCACCATGGTGTCTGATGAGAACACCAGTAAATGCACATAAAATTTACAGTGAATTCCTTCCTCCTGTGTTCTTATCTATAATCACCAAGAATAATCCCATTGGTTTCAGTAACATTTTGTCTATGAATTGTGCATTGAGCAGATGTCCAGTCTGTTTAGTTATCAGGACAGATTTTTAAAATGCATTCCCACTAACGAGTAAGGCATCAGAGGTACTGAAAGCATGGGCTGTGCTTGCAAAAACAAATTCTAGAAAAACTATGTGCTTGTCATTCTCTCCTTCCCTGAAACAGAAACACGAAGTGCTGAAGGATGATAAAAAGACAAGCTCTGCTGCCACCTGCTTACATAACTCGATTTAGCAGTTGAAGCAGCTTCCCAAGTGAATCGGGAATGAATACAAATGTAGATAAACTGCCTCTAGAAGCAGCTCTGCATGTCTGTTGTTGGTCAACTTTTTTTTCTGTAATGCTTAGGAAAACAAATACTAGGAGTAAGTATTGAATATGGTGGTTTATGAGGCAATATTTGAACTTTAATATGTCTTTTTTTGTCCTTTAATTGCCTGCCTTTTCCAGTTCCTCCATCAAAAACTCAGTCTGAACCTTCTCTGAACTATAGAGGTACTGTACAATGCTGCTGAGGGAAAACCATGGTTCCCTTGACACTATGTTTCATGTGTGTTTGGTAGATGGATCTTCAAAAATGACACATAAAAATTGCCATAGAGAAACTAGCTACTTTTGATGTGTGTTGTCTTTTGCAAAGTGTTGTTTAGATGTCTATGCTTTTTGGTCAGAACAAACACACTTCTGTGCATAGTGCTTCTTCAGTAATTGCCATTAAAATGCCAGCAATTAACAAATCCTGTCATTTAACTGTTGTGTGGTATGGTATGTTTCTATACAGATTCAAAGCCTTTTCAGGTTACCTAAACCATGATTAGTTGAATTTCAGAAATACTAACATTTCAGAGGTCTTTTGGGTTCAAAATTGGTTTAGTAACAAAGACAGAATATTTTGAGATCTATGAGCTCTTCCACTGATTTCAATTTACATGCAATGAAGCGTTTTAATCTCAAAACTATATATACACGTTAGACAACTTCTACTTGCTACATTACTTGGGGTTTGATCAGATAACATTGGTGCTTCTGCTTATAGTTAAGGAGAAAATTTGTATATTTAGTATATCCTTTTCCTCTACTGAGTGTTCTGTAATACGTTACTTAAATTAATTACCCTTAAGAAAGGTATGGTTGATTGTAACTGGCTTTACTTTTTTGCATTACTAGTAAACAGAACATAACCAAATAAAACTGTGACTAACTTCTTTAAATTTTCAGGAAGGAAGGAAGTCTACCTCCAGTAGATGACAGCCATTGAGTAAATCTTAGCTCATGGCCTGTTGCCTCTTGGCTTCACTAATGCCAGTACTTTTCCCCCCTAATCCTCTGTTATTACTTGCTGTGGCTTCCTTCAAGCATAATATTAGAGAGTATATCTGCTGTATTTATTTTAAAAAAATTGATACAGATTTATAAAGATTCCTTGTTTTTTTTTTTTGACATTATATGCTTTGTTTAAAATCCCAGTTTATTTGGATTATACAGTGTTTAATGGCAATGTTCATGATCAGGAGTTACTGGCATAACGCATAGTCGAAGACTATGTGACTAAGGGATTCATAATCCACATATAGTTGCAGCCCAACCCCAAGCAGAAAACCAGAAGTTTCTGTTAAATGAGCATAGGCAGCGCTTAGTATTTGAGAAAGGTATTAATTTATTTCTGTATGTTTTTGCAGTGGAGTTGCAGCCTTTCTTAAGTTTCTCCCTGTTTTCTTCTGGGTTCATCATCTTTACTCTTCTATTGTGCCTTGAACTGCTATATGTATTTAACACCTTCTAACACCTGACATTGCTGATATGCAAGTGATCTGTGTGAACATCATGTGCTTTGTGTGGAATGCAAATCCATTACAAGAGTTCTGGGATGAGGGGTTTTTTTGTGAAGTAAATCTTTATTTTGTATCAACAAGTCATTTTGCATTTGCTTCTTAATTGTTACTAAACAAATAGAGTGAATATAAGAGAAAACAGGGTTTTTTTTCTGTACATTAAACTTTCTGTGTGCTAGTGGGATAACTCTGATGTGCTTAGAACCAGGGAGAAGTCTTTAGAGCATTATGCAGTGTCCATGAAAAAATGTGGGAGAGCTTTACAGTCTGTATATTGAATGTCAACCCAATGGTTGTTCCCTGTAATGCATGACCTTATCATGTTGCTCATCCAGCTCGGCTGGTGGGGAGGAAGTTGAAGGGGGACTAAATGGTCTGAGAATTCATACAGTTCCTTAGCTGGTTCAAGGAGGACATGCATGTTTGAGCTCTTATAGCCTGAAATGCATATAAATGTGCCTCTCTTCCCACCTGAAGTAAAAGCACCAAGAAATTATGACCATGACCAGCCGGTTTATGTTCTAAGAAGAGCCCTTTTTCAAAGGGAGTGGTCTTTCCTTTTCATGGAGCTTTATACAAATCCACTTTGGGTTTCTCGCCATTAACTTCACTGTGTTAAGTCAGACCTGTGGATTGTACTTCACGAGTTTTAAGTGAGAACTCTAACAAGCATTTCTAAAGACTAAGCAACTTGCTCATGTTTTGCCTTTTAGTAAGGATTGCTAAATTGTGATTGAAAACTTACTGAAGTTTATTAAATTCTTCCATTTGCCTCCATTAGATTCTGGAACAATCTCAGAACCAATAAAAATTTGATGAAAAAGAAAAGGCAGGATCTGGCTGTTATTTAGATAATTCAGTGCATAACATGCCCAGCTCAAAAAAATACAGCATTGAACCAGGATGTTTTAAAGTACTGACGTTCTGAATCTTTATTTCAGAAATGTAATGTTCCATTATAATTGTTTCAGAACCGAGTCGAAAGGCTTCAGTAAGCAATGACGTAATAGAAAAAGAAAAGACAAGACTTCTGGGATTGTTTAAAGCTGATAGAAGAAGCAGCAAGGTGAGCGTTCAGCAGTGTACTACCTCACTAGAGAGAATTGTTTTCTTTACAGATGTATTTTGTCTGTGGGTGGTGGTGTTTGTGTGGTGGGGTTTGTTTTTTTTTTTTTTTCCTTTTTTTTTTTTTTTTTTTTTTTTTTTCTTCCAAGGGGTAATCTGTTAGGAGATGCATAAACTATGTTTAATCAGTGCAGCCTGGTGGAGGTACCAGCTGCTTATTGAAGGAGTCAGGCACATTCACCATTTAAATTTTATTTTTTTTTAAATACTGTGGGTTCGGTAGGTATTAACAAAGAGCAATAACTTCAAGCAACTTACGTCCACATAGTAGTAGTGCTCAGATGACAAAATGCATTTATCAAATAACTGATGTATAGAATACATTAAGATATCAAGTAGCAGTGTCTTATGAACTCTCCTGTGCATGGGTGATAATCTGTTTTAAAGCATTTATATCTTTAAAAAGCTCTGTACAGCCATCTCCAAGTCTGTAAAACCAGTGAATCAGGTGTAAAAGAAATAACTCGAAGTACTAAAAGAAATAATGAACTGAAGGATCAGTATCTGCTGGGGTGCATGTTAGGCATTTAGAACTTTGTCTTTAAACTTGAGTTGGAAAATTAAAGGAATTTTGCATAAATCATTTTCTTCAGTTGAGATGCCTTTATGAAAAATTTGTCATTCATCACAGAAATTAAATAGAGAAAAATTTTCTAACTCAAGAACACATGAAAAATATTGGTCTTTTAACTTCATAGTTTTTGCATCCTTTGCTACATACAAAGATCAGTGTCAACTGATTTTGATTATAAAGTGTTTACACTCTGGAGTGTCAGAGTAACAAGAGAATTTTCTTTTGTCTGGTTTAAAAACCCCTCCACGGCTTTTGCGATGGAATAATAAAATGTGTGTCTGATTAGCTGGTACTAAGAAACATATGCTTGTCACTGGACCGATGTTTCACTTATCCTTCCAGTCTTCTCAGTAATGTTTTTAAAGCTGTGGAAGCTTTCCACAGTCTTTGTTAGTTCTCTGCCCTTTTGATTATGATCAAGTTTGGAGTACTTTTGCTGGGCAATGGCTTTCTTTATGGGCACTGGGAATTACTGTGTTGAAAAATCTCATCTGTCATGGATGCTGAGCTATTCTTAATGTCTTATAAAGGAAACTATTTTATGAGATAGGAAGTCAGTCACTTTCAGTGTGTTTATCCTTTGTAAGAAAATATTTCCATTTAGAAGGGAACAAAAGCATAACTGGAACAATAATGCTGTGTCTGACTGGAAGAATCAAGTAAACAAGGGAGCTCATCCTGAGCCTTTATAGAGCATGCTGTGGGGCTGTAGTTCCTCTGGAAGAACCAAATACATTACAGCATGCAGTTTCTGCATTATATTTTGTCTTCGGATTCCATTTTCCTGAACTTCGGTATGAAGAGTGTGCTCTTGGAGTTCTAACTCCTGAAATAGCTCAGATTTAACTTGTAAAATATTGACACTTGCAACCTTAGAAGAAGTTGCTATGAAGCATCCCAGTTGTGTGGTTACTGCAGTGGGCTTCTCCCAGCTGAGTTTGGGATGAGTGTCCCAAGATCGGAAACCCTCCTCTCCCCTCCTCTCCCCTCCTCTCCCCTCCTCTCCCCTCCCTTCTTCCCCATGCTTCTTAATCAGAGAAATAGGAGATGATACTCTTGAGCCTCCTCGCCCCTCCCCTCCCCTCCTCCCCCCTCCTCTCCCCTCCTCTCCCCTCCCTTCTTCCCCATGCTTCTTAATCAGAGAAATAGGAGATGATACTCTTGAGGTTTTTTAAAATACAGATTTTAATAGATGCTAAGGATATTGAGGATCAATTAACAAGTTACAAGTAGTATTTGACCTGGGAAAAAGTAGGAACTGTACAAACAAGTACAGCTTCTGACCAGCTTCTAAATCTGAGGAAAATGTGTAAGTCTTTCTTCCTGCTAGTTCTGACAAGTTAATTGGCTTTTCTTGGTCTTTTCTTTATTGGACTCTTACTTTCAAATGACAAATACTCTGCAGGAACAGAAAATAAAACCACCACTTTTAGTCCAGGAAGGACATCCCTGTTGCCTTTTCAGTACTAACCTCTAGAAGTCTGAACCCAAATAGACAGAAGAATTACTGAGAACCACAGAATAGCACAGCACACAGGAGCAAGCAGGTGTTAACTGGCCATAATACATCTGGCTTGGTATTGCAAAATTTTCTATCCAAAACAGCAGTGAAATTGCTGAACAGACTTAGCAGAATGAGGGCAAATTAATAAAGTTCTTTTAAGAAAGGATTTGGTAGGTTTATGAAGGAATTATATGATGGGATGTCCTGTGAATTCAGGGCACTGGAATCAAAGGCCCAGAGTTCCTGAACTCTACTCTTTACAGTTATTCTTACATTTTTACTCCTCCACAAGACTTAAGTTGGTTCTGCTTTTTTTTTTTTTTATTTGCTTGCATTATGATTTGCAGTGATTCTGTGTGTGTGTGTATGTATGTGTGCATGTATGTGGTCATTCATAGTCCATATTGTCCAAATGAATTGTCCAAAGTCTTGCACAGTAGTAACACTGCAGAGTTGCGGGCATTTACAAGGGGAAGGCAGCTTCTTTTGCAAGTGAAGAAGAATATTAGCCTATGTTGCAAGCTGTCCTGGATCAAGTGTCACTGCACACTACAGACCTATGCTCAGATTTCCATGTCCACCGCCCACATGCTTGCTTTCTCATCTAGCTCACTGAAAGCAATAATGGTGGTATGACAATATACTAGATCTAACTTTTTTGAAAAAAAACTTTCTGCTATATTAAAAACAGTGACACAGAATGAGAGAAGAGTCCTATTCTCATGTTTAATGCAAATTTGTTGAAAGTATTTATTTGGTTAACTTTGTACTGGCAGGCTTAATGCCAGATCAGGTATCATCTTGTTCTCTCCATTCTAATTTTATGCTGGATCAGTTACTCTCTGTTCTCCTGCAGCTGGCATAAAAAACATAAAGATGGCATGAACTCCATATCTTTTTGATGTGAAATATAGTCATGTGCCTGAGGCTAAATCCAGATCAAACTGGCACTGCTAAGCAATCCAGTAGAGCAGAGGTCCTGTGCAGACAATCATGGGATCTAGGCTTAAGTAGGGTATATGCTAGCAAGCAGAAACAGTCCTGTCATTGGCAAGTGGCAGGAAAGAAGTTCTCTGCTTGTTCCCCTGTATCTGTGGGTGTAGCAGAGACTTGCAATCTGGTCCCTGCTGTTGCAGGAGTTGCTTACTACCTGTTTTCCTTCTTGCCCAAGAATTGTTCTGTTTCTTTATATTCTTGTTCTTAAATCTTTCTGCATGTGGATTTCTTAGGGCCTTGCCTACATGAGAGAAATCTTGCAGACTACTTCAGAGTTTCTCAGCAGTCAGGTCCAGCACAACTGAAACAGTTTGTCTTGATTCTGTGATGAGGTTTGATGCTTTGCTCTGGCATGTTCTTGCTGATTTGTTTCCTTTGCTGCTGCTATGTAGGATACTTGTTTGTGTTGCAGACAAAAGAACACTTGAGGATGAACAGAGATTGTGGTGAGGAGGATGGTTTTAGTTCTGCATCTACAAGTGAAGGAAGCTTGGATGTAAGTACTAACATGGCTTGTAGACGCTATTGCATTCCTATTAGATCCTGCAGTTTGAATAACCAGGAACTACTGCTATTCCTGCTATAGAAATAGCTTACTTCTCAGCAGGCTTAGTTACATGACTGCACAGTTTGCATGCCTTGATGAAGTTAAAATGAAATGCGCTGTCTTCAAATAAAACTTGATAGCCTCATTATAAGTAAAGTTTCTTTCAAAGTTAAATTCTGAGCAGTTGTGAGGAAAAGATGTTTTAGCCAAAGTCACAGGTGTGGTGACTGTAAGACAGTGGCAGTACTGCATGATGCAAAAGTATGTTTGCCTTGTCAGTGACAGGTAGAGGGAGCTTTTTTCTTCTAAAACCACACCTCTCGTTTTTAACCCTTTATATGTCTTCTGCAGCATGGTAGCATTCTGTTTGTTTCTTAAGTAGCTTGGGAGTGGAGAGCACTTTTGTTTTAAAGACTGTAAATAACAAAAAGGATTTTTGTTATGCGCTTCAGTAGGTTTTGGGGTACTAAAATCAAGAGAACCACATTTAGAAAGGTTTTTAAGTGCCTGACAGACTCCAAAATTACGAGGATTAGGAAATATTTAGGATTCACACTTCCTAATAATCCTACTATTTTTATAAGGCTGTTCTCACGGATTAATAATCATAATAAATGGTATGTCTTTTGTTGCTTTTTTAAATTACTTGGCTTTTTGTAGTCATATTTTCCAAACCTGGAGAAAACTCTGTTATGACATGATACAAGCCTGAAATGTGAGGTTCAACTCTGAATCCCCCTTTCACAAACAATTATTTGGAAAAAGAGTGCTGATCTGCAAAATTTATAGCTCACTAGCCATAGAGAAGGGTGACAGAAAATGGTGGAAAAAATGGAGGGGTAAGAGAACAAATCACAGATAAAAAGGATAAAATAAAAGAAGTCAAAAGGGAGAAATAGATGAAGAAGTGGTTGGCTGTGAGGTTAAAAAAACACCTAACTGTAAATCTGTGAAGATGTCATAATGAAAGGGTACTGAAATAAGACAGCTGGTTATGACACTAAAAATTTGGGTAATACTATAAAGATGAATGTTTTAGTGAGAGAGCTCTATTAATATAAAGTCATTGTGGATACTTGAAATATCCTAGGTAAAAGTATAGAAAAACCATCACAAGCTCTGCCAAAATGACATCACCTTGTGGTTTGTATTCACTGCTATATACGTTCATCTCAGTATCTTGATACCTAAGTACTAGAAGAGGAGGAGGAGGAGGAGGAGGAGGAGGAGGAGGAAGAGGAGGGGTTCCAAGTGAGGATATGAAGGTAGTTCAGATACTCTGAACTGTCTTTTACACTAATGTGTGGCATTTCCTCAGAA